TCACTCAATTTTGAGGATTTGCTCAGCTCAGAGCCTGACCCTAAATATTGATGAACTTGTAGAAAAGATAAGACACCACCGAGTATCAGCCTCAGCCTCAAAGAAGTGAATATTACTTATAATATAATGTGCAATCACATATGAAGAGTTTCAGTTCAAGTTTAAAAATTAAAGTTTAATATTTGCTTTCGCTGCTTGTTAATTCTCCTTGAAGAAAGTGTTGTTTTTGGTTTATACATTTTTGCACTTTATTGTATTTCAATCCAATTATGTTTTAAAAATATTTTATTCGAGTAAATGATCGAAAATTATTGTCCTATTATTTGTTTTTCTTTTAAGTAAATTTAGCCTACTTTTGCTAAAAGAGAAAATATGGACTAGTGATAGTGCCTTGAATAATATCGGCTTCTTTCATTCATGTTTTGGGTATTTTTATACAAAGGAAATTTTTTTGTGCCTGTTGAAAATTAAAGTTTACTGACATAGCCATAAAAAAATGTTTCTTTATTTATGTGACCGTATTGGAATGTATTTGTTAGGTTTTCAGTCAATTAAATTTGGTTCAATAAACAATAAGTGGTTATTTTTAAAATTTTCAATGAACATTCGATCAGTCCGGCCCTCGGCTTGCAGCAAAAATTTTTACCTGGCCCTCCGTCCATTTGACTTTGACACCCCTGCTCTACACAAAAATGTAGAGGGTTGTTTGAAAAAAATGCCGACCGTAAAGTTTTTTTTCGACGTAGAAATTCTCGGTCGATCGGGTTACCGGAAACACACTACTTTTTTTTCTACGCCTTAGCTCTCTCCCTTATGGTCTTCTCTGGTGCTCTAGGAGCAAGGAAACCTCCAAGCAACTGGTCCATAGCTGACTTGGGAGGCTCTGGCTCATCATCTGGGGTAGACAAGACAAAGCAAGACAGGACAAAAGAAACATGAGTCAAAGCAATATGTCTACAATACTATCAAACACAAACAACAAAAAAACTAGTGATGGGAAAATAAAGGCTCATGAAGCAATGAGGCTTTCCATCCAACTGGTTCGTTCCTGGGCCGAAGCATCATGAGGCTTTATTTGTACTACTGCGCCATCATGTGAAAAATAAATGTCATGACAGACAGTGATTAAAATTATACCATGGATTTGATGTAGAGGTAAGATCGGGCCAAAAAAAAATCCAGCCCGACCCGGCCCACTGGTATTTAAGCCCGACCCGGCTTTCATTTGTGATGACTTGGGAGGAGGCGGGGTGATTTGTGCTAACAAATTAAAGCCTATCTTTTGTCACGAAATCTAAGTTAAACAAGTCTGTATAATTATTTACATCTTTTAAACATGTATTACTGTTTCTGCAGAGGGTACATTAACCGACAATTTTCCATCATTGACGGATTTTTTTTTAAGGGTGGACGGGGAAAATTTAAGGCCGTCCGTCATTTTGACGGATTGAAAATTGGGCCATTCACCACAGCAGCAGTACGTCCT